ATAAATCTCCCCAGACTTACCCAATGGCTGTGAACATTCTAAACTAACACAAGTCTCATTAAGTGTCCAGTTTAAGGGTATTACACAGAAACACACCACAAGAACATGAATCAATTGAGTACTTTATTCATTTACAATAAATTCATAATGTACATAATTCTGATTGAAGCTAAGGGCATACAATTGTCTAACATGTTATTGGTTCCATATGCATCAATACAATGCAAAATAGGTCAATGCATGCTATGAAAAGGCAGAAGCATGCCGGGCGTAGCGTTTTGGGTTTTGGGTCAGGTTGAGATTGAGATAGGTCTATGCCAATACCAACCTGTAGCCTTCCTTTAGAACAGGGGCACTTTTCATGAGATTTAGTGGGTTGGATTCCACATCTCATTTTATTTAGTCGGATCAGGTTAGGGTTAGGGTTAGGGATGGCACTTTTTCTCATATTGGTTGGAATGGTTTCATTGGGTTTGGGTTGAACAAATCCCATAACAAACCCGACCCACTTGCATCCCTACCCTTAAATGAGGTTTTGGTTGACTGGTTAATGTGGTTTAGTGATTTAGTCTTTTCGCTAGGGATGTACCCATTTAATCAAAACTAGGAATTGCTTTAGCCACTCATCTCTTTATTCAAAAAGGAAGATCAACTCATCCCTATTCTTCTATGTGAGGATTTGTTACCATGACCATAAGCCTGGTGAAGGTATTAGTGAAGAAGTTGATATTTTTGAGCATGGCATCCTATGGTTCAAGGACGTGTGGCACATTCTCATATTACGCGAATGGTGCGTGCGTGAACTCTTGCCCTAATAGATGTCGGACTCCCCTTGAACCGGTCAAAACTCCGATACACTCTTTGTTGTGGCGTATCAGAATGCTCCTAATACGATACGTATTGGCCGATATGGGCCGAGACCCCTCCGATATGCCCCTACAATCGGTGTATTGGAGGTTTGACTGGTTTAGGGGTAGAGGAGACCTAAACCACCCCCTAAACCGGTTACAGAAAAAAAAGCAACCAAAATGTGTATTGATTCGCCCGATATGCCCCTATCGGCGTATTGGGTGTATCAATATTTTGAACCTTGATCGAAACTATAGTTGATAACACATGAAAATGCTTACAATCCAAGTGTCACAACCAACTTGAAAATAAACCACCTGAATAGTCTCTTGGTTAACAATTTGATTTTGAAAACCTTTAAACAAGATTCAAAGTATCGACATGCATCAGCCCGTATCAGCTGATACGTATCGTTCCGGGACCCCTCTGATACACTCCTACAGTGGGTGTATCGGGGGTCTGACCGGTTTAGGGGGTGGAGGAGTCCTAAACCGACCCCCCTAAACCGGTTTTGAAGAAAAAAGGCACCAAAATGCCCAACAGTCGATACGCCTTTACCGATGTATCGGGCGTATCAATATTTTAAACTTACCTTTAAAAGAAACAGATTTTGGTTGGTTCAAAAGTTTTGAGTTTGAGTAACCACTAACCACACTTATTTTGAAGTACACATTTATATGTGATGATCACATGAGTGCAAGTATCTATTACCAAGAAGAGAAAGTAAGACTTGGTAACCAATTCTACAAATATTTACAATAGAGAGATGCACTCTTGTGAACTATTTTTCCAAGTAACTTTAATTTGTCTTTCAATCTTTGTGCAATCATTCTTTTCCACCGAGTAATTGATTCGTCCTCAATTGGGTTTGGACAATGGCGATGAATTCCCATAAATATTTGCTTTTATGAAAATGCATTCATTTAAACTATGGAATTTCATCTTGTCTTTGTTCATCACATATATCACATCTTGTCTTTGACTTTCATACCTCCTCTAACGGCTTAAGTTCAAAATATCAGGACCATGTATTGTATTGATATGATGAGCTTGGAAATGGATATGCATCACAATAGGGCTCAGATCTGTTGCCCACGAGTTCCCACATCTCTACCCACAAAACATTACAGCTGTGCATTGGGAATATCTCCCTTGTCATCAATAGGAAAATGTTTCTAATACATGGCGGTAGTGTTATGTGGGTAGAGATGTAGGAACAATTTGTGGGTAACAGATCCGGAGTGACCACAATATGCTTTGGGTACATATGGAAAAATATGGGTATGCTTGAATACAGTAGGAATTGGTAAATCAAGGAACATTGCTAAAAGAAATTGAAAGAACTGTGTTTTTACGAAGAAGAAGAATAGAGAATGAGACAAGGAACAAAGAAGGAGAAGCAAAAATGTCTGATAGATGCCTCTTCCAATTCTACTTATATGTTATTCTTGCAATGCAAAAGACTTAGCAGCCCATAATAGGGCGGGTTTTAGCCCATAAACTAACTAAAAGAACAAATGAACATAAAAGAAAACTAGGCCCACAAAGCTGTCTGCCAACTAGCTGAACTGTCAATACTCCCCCTCAATTAGGGAGAAAATGTCAAATCATTCATAATTTGCATAAATCATGTTGTAGCTTGTTATTTGCAACTCCTTTAACAAAGACATCTGCTAACTGCAACTAATAAACTACAGAATCTAATAAATCCTACAAATACATTAATAGTACTAAACCTTAAAATAACTCTGAATAGAATATACATATTTCAATAGTTTATATGAAGAAATACATAGAACACAGAGATATCGAACACCTGTATTAATAATAATGCATCGATCAGGAGTCCACGATATTGGAAATGCGAAGAGTTGAATAGGGAACCACTTTAAGAGACATATTTGGATACACTTGGACATGGTTTTTAAAAATGAACCGGTGACCGAACTGGTCAGGGGTCCGGTTACTGGTTCGAACGGTCCGGTCGTTCCACCCAAATGGCCGGCCCATTCTGACAAAAAAAAAAAATGGAAAACAGTCAAAACCGTTCGAATAGTTCGAGCAGTTAACCGGCCGGTTCAGCAGTTTGCTGACCAAAATCAACGGTTTTGGGGGAAAATAGAACCGGTCAGATGACTGGTTCCCAATTTTTCCGGTCCGGTCCGGTTTTGAAAACCATGACTTTGGATATGCATGAGTATAGTGGAAAAATTAAGATTATATTAAGAAATTCAAATAAATCCTAAAATATATGAATTATAAACTATATAGGTACATGTATTTTGAATTTGGACAGGCGCTTTTGAGCATATATTATCCATAAGTTAAAATTTTCAATTTTGCATATTTTTGTACGTGCCATGTTAAGACAATGCCATAGCAGATCAGGTATCTGTAGCTACTCGTCTACAAAGGAAAACTTGTTTTGTACGAACATCCCTTCCCCTCATAGCAGAAATTTAATTTAGTTTGGGGGAAGCTTATAAGTAAGACATTAGTGCTCTCTTGTAATATTATATCGTTTTGATTAAAAAAAAAATCAAATACCAAGAGAAAAGATATAACATATCAGGGCTTTGATCAATCATGTACAGTAAAAGAAGCCTGGGTCTATCATATTTCATGGAAGAAACATATGAAATCTTACCAATATTCCACATAAGTTCGCTGAAAACCACCCTGCAATTTCTCCCTTTATGTATTGCAAGCCAAAAATATAGGAATAAATAAAGAACTGTGAATATATTTACAGACTGGCCAATGCTAATTAGCAAAAGAAACAATTATGAATGGACACCAATTAATTGACAAGAAAATGAATAAATCATACAAAAATTTGAGTAATATCTATAAATAAATTAAAAGAAAAACCTAACAAAGAAATGCTATTTGATTCCTTTTAATCTTCAAGTAGGTATCTGTTTCTTCTTGCGCCAAAAGCAAGTCTCTGGGCACAAACAAGAAAAATGAATGAAGAAGAAAAATATAAGTTTCCAGTACATTCAGAAGAAAAAGGATAAAGCTTGGTAAATTTATTCAAGGAAAGAAAAATACCGAAAACATGTAGTTGAAAACAACTTAACTGAAAATATCTGGGAGTAGGCTTTAAACCCAGTCAGGAAACGAATGTAAGTGGGCTTCATGGATCCATTGGTTGGGATGGATCTGATGCTTGGAACAAGATATTCAGCTACCTATATGAAGAACAATTAAAAACAGAACGTCATACACTTGGTTATAATTACATGCGTGTTCATTAGTTTGAGTCTCCCCATTAACATTCAATAATTGTGTATATTTGCATCTTTGATTCAAGTACTGAACATACAATAGTTTTGATGCATGAAAAGCCATGATAATAAAGCCCCACGCAGGAAGAATCCTCACAACTAGAATAAAATCTATATCTTCCACGCATTTATTTTATTCATGTAGGCAGTCTAATATAAAAAAGAAAGGCAGCCCAATGCATGAGGCTCCTGCCAATGCAGGGTTTGGGGAGGGACAGATGTACACAGCCTTACCCCTGGCACATACAGAGAGGCTGTTTCCAAGATTTGAACTCTGGTCACCCAGGTTGCAATGGAGCAACCCAACCATTGCGTCAAGGTCCATCCTCTAGGCAGTCTATTACAACTATAAACAAAAATGTGTTCCCAATCATCATATATTGTATTATAACATCATGAATATCAGGTTAGAAATTTTGGTTGTGGTCGTTCTAGATAGGGTCTCCAACAGAAAATTAGGTGCATATTGTGAAAATACAAGGAACATGGGCTTCAGGCTGGGCCCATTTGAAATTTGGCAAAAGCTCAGCCCGAGCCCAGTCCATGAACAGGTCTATTGATGAGCAAGGCAAAGTTTTTTTTAACATTGAGGTATAACATGCATTGTGACACTTTGTTGTAATGGATTATCGAACCAAATTAATAGAAGAGGCCAAATTGAGATATCCCTGGGTCTCCAATACTAAGTGCACCTTGATTTCCACTCCTATTATTATTAAATTTATATTGCATATATTCTTTTTAGTCCTTATTTTAAATTCTCTTGTTTCTAAGGTATATGTCCATAGATCCAATTTTGTAACTAATCCTTCTTTAGTTTGATCAATTAATACTGTCATCAGCAAATAACATACACGATAGGACCTCCTCTAAAATTTGTTCGGTCAATTCATCCATGACCAGAAAAAGGTCATTGCCCAGTACTGGTCCTAGGCTCCTAGCTTTCTGAAGGGTAGAGTGGATACAGTCATAACCTATGATTAGTGCAAATCGGCCTTGGTGAAGTCCCATCATGACTGGAAACTGTCCTGTGTCTTCCATAGGCGTTCTAACATTGGTTATTGATCCCTATTACCTGTCCTTACATAGGTCAACATACCTATTTGGTACTCTTTTCTTTTCCAAAATCCACCATATTACCTCTCTAAGAAATACCATATGAGATCTCTCCTCTTTGAACTTTCTATCAACAAGAAGATAGTTTCCATGGTTCATCTCCATGACATGAAACCAAATTGCTTTCTAGTATACTTGTTTCATGTTGTAACCTCTTCTCACTTTCTCAGTTACTCTCTTCCAAAGTTTGATAATGTAACTCATGAGTTAAATCCCATGATGATTACTAGAACTTTTATATCATCTACTTTTTTAACAATAACCACCATAGTGTCATTTCTCCCTTCATTTGGCATCTTTTTTGTTTTCATTATGTTATTAAATAGTTTAGTTAGCCATAACAGGCCTACCTAATGTAGAGGCTGGTAGATAGAAGACAAGGTTAATGAGTTACCTTGCTTCAAAATCTCACAAAGTAGGATCTCTAGGGAAAATCTAGAGAATAGTTGCTGGTTTTCTTCTAGCAGTAAAGAATACTAGTGCACCCTCTATTGTCACCTAACCAGTTCGTACTAGAGAGAACACAAGAAATCAGGGGTGTCTAGAGAATGAATCAACCCCCACCCCATAGAAGAAGAAGAAGAAGATATGTAGCATGTGAAGAATAAAACAAGGACTGCGGTAGTGCACCCTAAATCAGGGGTGTCTAAAGAATGAGTCAACCCCCACCCCAAAGAAGAAGGACTACGGTAATATAGTACAACATAAAAAATGTTGGCAATTTGCATATCTAAGGTGACATGAGGGAGAGAAATAGAACCAGCAAGAAAAGTTTCTAATAAAGTGGTAATCCACCTGAATATGCTTCAGCCTCTTATGAAAGGCAGGGTTAGAAGCAATCTTATAGCACTAGTGTTGTCTGCATATAGAGGGATAGGTGTAGAGGGAGGAAGACCAAGATCCTCAAATAGTGATCGAAGCCAAACAAACTCGTTGCACACAGATGACATTTCCCTATACCTTTGTAGATGACTTGGACACAGTTTGTTGTTTCTTGCATTTCCATGAGATGAGGGAATCACCCATGAAGACATACCTCTGAAATGCTGAGTGTCGAGGCAGCCTGCCCAATCTGCACCAACATAGGCCCTCAATTGGATAGGAGATAATGAAGTGAAGAATAGTCCTTGTGATAAAGTGCCACGAACATAGCAAATAATCCAGTGACAACATTCAAATGGGGTTGGCGAGGGGCAAAAACAAATTAACTAACGACCTAAACCACATGAGAAATGTTAGGACGAGTCATAGTGAGATAGATAAGAGACCCCACAAGTTGTCAATCCTTTGTGGTTAGGATTAATACCCCACAAAGGCTCACATAATAGATTGAGCAGAAAGTTTAGAATGCTCACGAGAAGGAAGATGCACAAAACATAAGCATCCATAAACATGAAGATTAGACAAATTTTGAGGAGTGTCTGGACAACTTCGTTGAACTTGTATTCCATGATTCTTCAAATAGGCTAGAAAATCTCCATCACAGTATTCTCCCCCTGAATCTGAGTGAAGGATCCATAAACTTGATTGAAACCAAACTTGAATTATAGCACGAAACAGTAGAAAGGTTGGAAAAACTTTTGACTTGTGTTTGAGAAAGTAGATCCAAGTGTACTTGGTATAATCATCAAGGAACAACACAAAATACTTGTATCCCAATTGTGACTGTTGAAATAATTTAGTTATTTGTGTTAGGGTATGTTTGGCTAGTTAAAGCCTTTTTTTTTATTTTCTGTTATTGTACTCACTTACAGCAGGGGCACAAGAGTCTTTTCCCTTCTTATTTCTGCCGCCCTAT